AATTCATAAGTGAATGTAATACTAACATGGGAACAAGTTAACCTAATAGTTTGACACGTTATCAAACAGAAAGGGTGAATTAACATTCCTGAAGATTTAAAACGTGTAGAATATTTAATCTTTTCTTGTTCTTGCATGTCTGTAAAAAACGGTAAACCAATTCAAAACTTTTACTAAAATAAAGCTTGACACATGGATAGTGTTACATCATGTGTATATCACATAACGTCTTTAAAAATAGTAACCACGTCTCTTGAAAAAGCGTTTTTTTTCACATAAAATAATAAAAGCTATAGACAACATCGTAGAGACCTACAGTTGAAAAGTCAAACTTTAGTTTCTCTTGACAAAAGCAAGGCGGTGTTATCTAGACTAACCCTGGTAGAATTGCGCTGTAACCTGTTTCGTTTCATTCATCTCGTCCTTAATTGTTTTAAACATGTTGAGGAAAATTCAAAGTGTTTCTGTGAAATAAGTACAACGTTTTTCACTCATATAGAATAAATGAATAGACATGTGGTAGTAATAAATCCCGTATCATTTTACAGACTTCATTGTTTTTCTTTAATTTATTCAGCATGTGTAAGCAGAACTGGTCGAGGTTGGGCTGTAGGTGACGTAACTGTTGTCGTCAGAGCTCCCGGAAGTGCAGTGATGATGGTGGCTGTTCTCTGGTTGCAGGAACAGTGTGTTGATGCGGTGAGAAGATCGAATGAGTAGTTCTATAATTTGAATAAAAGATTCCAGATTTGGATTTTTAGGGACGAGGTATCCTATAGATCTGAATTTTTGCTGAAGATACAATAGCACTGTCTCCCTGAGGGGGCCGGACGCTGGACGAATAATGTCGCTCTTCCAGTCGGCACTTGATTTCCTGGCGGGGCCCGGCTCTGCTGGGGCTGCCAGCCGGGACCAGAATGACTTCGTAGGGCAAACCGTGGAGCTCGGCGAGATGAAGCTGAGGATCAAAAGAGTAATTGCCGAAGGTGAGATGCCCGATTCTGTAAATTTGTCGCATGCGATGCCAAGCATTAAATAAGTTAATTTATTTGAAGGTAAAGGCTACGTGGGCAGGTAGCACTGTCAGTGCTCCACTTTACCTGTGTGCAGGTCCGGCCTGGCTGGCTGTAAGCCGGTACGTGCAGCTGCACCTGCCGGCAGGGTTTACGAAAGAAAATGTTGTTGTGAGACAAAGCTGGCTGATGTGTGACGGAAGATGAGGAAAAGAAAGCTCTCATGCCTTTTGGATCATTTTATTGTGCTGATGAGTTCATGTGTTGATAGATCACCACTTGGCAAAACGTATGAATGAGTATCGCACTTGGAACAGTTTAGGAACATTCCTTTCAAAAGCAGAGAGGAACAGCGCGATGCACTTTCTCAAGGGAAAGTACAGATATCAAACAATCAGAACACAGGACATGAGCGGTACATGTTTCTCAAATTACTTTAAATGGCTAAAACGAGCTCCCGTTAAAGAACAGGCTAATTTTACTACACCGTGCCACGAAAAGTTTAAAAATATCACTTTTGGCTGCTTCTTGCTTTCTTTTATTTGTGCTACTTTTAGATTGAAGATAGAACGCCCAGGACATGGTCATTCATCATGTTGTGCAACCGTTCAGCACTGTAGAGTACGTGCTTATGACATGTCCCATTTTCGATTTTTTTCCCCAAGTACCCTACATGAAGGATTGCTTTTATAAAGAAAATCCCTTGTAGATATTTAAGTGTAAAGTAGTTTTGATATGGTGCAGATTTATAAGCCCTTTTAAGACTACAGTTGAACTTTCAGTTGCTGTTTTGGAAGACCTACTTGTGGAAATCTGTAGACTTTTATTCGGGATACTTTCAAAAATGTTTAATTAGGTAGTATAGCTCAGCAAAAAAAGCCATTCCCAAAAAGAGATATCACAATAGTGCAGTCTTCTGGGCTTGGTTAGCTTTTAAAATCCTTTGAAAAATAGCACTGTGGTTTCCACATATTCATCTTGCATTACAATTCACTTTTCTTAACTTTTTGTTAGATTGTGTTAAGTATGCTAATGTCGTGGGCTTAAACTGTTATTTGCTAGACAGATTATTCTGGGTTTTCACTACAGGAGCAATGCAACAGCCTAACCACAAGAGGATCATCCATAATGCAGTGTCCAGTGTAACAAGACATTTCTAAAGGCAATCAGATGAAACTACACATGTAGGAGATAACGAGCATTGTCAAATATGTGATTGCTATTCAACCTATCTTGGGTTTTCGTGGATACTAATGTAGTGTATTGATCCTAAATATCCTCAGGCTGCTAATACACCTACTGTAGAAGAATCTTTGTGAAATAACTTCCACACAAAATACTTTAGACAATGCTTTGTTCCATACTTGTCTGATGTAGGAAGAAAAAAATAAGGAATAAGTGACATATTCCAATGTATAAAATATCTGGTAGCATTAGTCCATCAACAGCAAAAAGATAGATTATAACTCTAAACCTATACCAATCACATTCCCCTGAAACGTCCTGAGTGATATTTAACTCTGTACCTGTTGCATATATAACATAAGAACATAAAAGATTTACAAATGAGAGGAGTCCATGTGGCCCATCTCACCCATTTAGTAGTTAGTAACTAAGCCATCCAAGAATCTCATCAAGCTGCTTCTTGAAAGAAACCAAAGTATTACCTTCAACATCATGGATTGGTAGCTTGTTCCATATTCCCAATTTTGCTTAAAGAAGAGTCTCCTGTTGTCAGGTTTAAAATGCTCTTCCAGCGACTTGGCATCTGTGTCCTTTTATTCCCGTTTTAACTGTTTATTCTAATAAGGTCCACTGAGTTGACTTTGTCAGTGTTTTTGGAGTATTTTAAATACTTGGAACAGATCGTCCTGTTGTCTTCTCTGTTCAAAAATTTTCAGTTTCAGTTCCTCCAGCCAGATAGTCAAAAGAAATCCAAGGACTTATTATCATCAATTGGAAACAGTACAGTTGGTACAAGACATCATTATCCAGATCGTGGATCATAGCTGACAGAAACCAAAGCGCATACTGTACAGGACAGGGAAGTGAAAGTAAATACAGGGATGAATCACTAGATCTAAAGGTGCAGTTTGTACAGGAGAGACTTGAGGTGGAGCTGGAATCTGATGGAGCTGTTGTTGTATTGGTGGTGAAATATATGTTCTTCTTCAACATATACGTATTAGTGAATTTAAGCAGAAGTCTATGAAATGTCAGTTGTAACCAAATACAAACTTATGTGCTGCTTCAGTTGATAAATTAAAGCAATAGTTATCTTGATAATAGTTTCTACTTTAGTTCTCCATAGATACATCCACAACCAGCAGAGACAAGATTA